TTATTTCTTTATGCATATATATATATGCAGAAGATGACAGACTAATGGAAGTAATTCCTGCTCTGAAAGTAATTCTTACCTCAAAATTTTTAAAGCATGTGTAAAACAGTACTCAAAACACTTTCCTGAGTGTAGGGTATGCTGCATATCCAATGGATCACTTAGCAGTGTCAATTTTAGGGTGCTTCCAGGGATTATCCAACACTGAGGCACCAAAATTATTACAAATATATATACAATTTGATGTCACATAGAATCACAGAATCATAGAATAATTTGGGTTGGAAGGGACTTTTAAAGTCATCTAATCTAATCCCCTTGCAATAAGCAGAGGCATCTTCAACTAGATCAGGTTGTTCAAAGCCCCATCCACCCTGAATTTGAACGTTTCCAGGGATGGGGCATCTACCATCTCGTCGGGCAACCTATGCCAGATCCTCTTATTATTTTTCCAGAGATCACTGAAGTTTGATGCTTTTGAGTCAGAAAAATGTCTATCTTTAGGAGGATTTTCTTGCTCTGCTATATATGACAAAACTCTTGTCCCCTTATCGTTATTAATAATATGCTGAATATCTATATTTCACTGAATCCCTGCAATACATTTTGTCCTTGCACCTTGTAGAGTATGCAAACTAGAAAAAAGGAGGTTTGTTAATAGGAAAGAATTTAGAAAGAGACTCTTGACCCACTGAAGTCCAGGAAGATCTTGCAGACTTTTTCCCTAAGGTCTGATTACAAGTTTAACTGAGTCATTTTGAACTTCTTTGAGCATAATATTAATGTATTGGTGACAGACCCTGGGACTGGGAGAAAGACAAAAGAGAGGTTACTTTTTTATATTTTAACCTGCTTGTGCCTTTAATTACTGTAGGTATGAATTTAATGAAATTATGCTGCCTGAACAACTTAGTGGCCTTTTCTGATGGAGTGACTACGTCAGTGGACAAGGGAAGAATTATGCATGTCATCTATATGGACTTCTGTAAGGCCTTCAACATGATCCCCCTTCTCTCTAAACTGGAGAGATGTGGTTTTGATGGATGGACTGTTTGGTGGATGAGGAATTGGTTGGACGGTCACATCCAGAGGGTAGTGGTCAAGGACTCAGTGTCCACATGGAGCTCAGTCACAAGTGGTGTCCCACAGGATCCTGTAGCAGGACCAGTACTGTTTAATGTTCTCATCAGTGACATAGTGGGATGGAGTGCACCCTCAGCAAATTTGCAGATGGCACAAAGCTGAGTGGTGTCATCCTTGACACACCTGAAGGATGAGACACCATCCAGAGGAAGGACAAGCTTGAGAAGTGGGCACATCGAAATCTCATGAGGTTCAACAGGGCCAAGTGCAAGGTTCTGCACTTGGGTCAGGGCAACCCCTGGTATCAATACAGGCTGGGGATGTAGAAATTGAGAGCAGTCCTGCCAAGGACTTTGGAGTGCTGGTGGATGAAAAGCTGGACATGTTGCTGCCCACAAAGGGGCACTAGAACCAGGTGCTGTTTAAGATCCTTTCCAACCCTAACCACTGTATGATGATGAAGTATGTGATAGACACAGAACTGTAATCACTCCCCAGTATGCCTTCACTTGATATATGATGTACCCATGTAATAACAGTAGTACATCAAACTGTCCCATGCTTTATCTTTGTTCTTGGATGAGAATCATGCTTTCTCCTTCTTGCCTCCTCTCAGATATCCTATAACATCTCCAAATGTTCTTACAATTACTTCTCTACCTTTGGTAAATCCATAAGCTTTTAAAAAAATCTTAATACAAATACAGAAAAAAACCCCCAGTGTTTTGTATGTAATTTAAGCCACTGCTAGCTGTTTGTTAAAGTCTTTTCATGCCTTGTCTGAGATCTTGAAATAATATATGTAATAAAATCATGACAATGACTCACAGCTTCTCCAATAGAGTTGTTTTCATTTATGTTGTATGCAGAAACAGCTCTGTTAATAAAAACCATATATAAATAAAGTAGCTCTAGAAAGGAATGCTGATTTGTATAAGAAAACCCTGGACAATTAGGAAGTAATGTCTGTAAAATATTCTGCTGCCACAAGACACACACAAACTGATTGAAGACAGACACTTCTATGAGAATTTTGTTGAGGCCAGCTTTATAAATAGATGCTCAATAATAGTAGACCAGATGTTCAAAATGAATTGTCAAGTAAGGCTTCTTGTAACCAAGCTGAAGAAGGCCATCAAAGCAATTGTTTCACAACTTCAGATCCCGTTCTGAGCCTGTTAGTCTAGTATCAAATGATGCTCTTGGAGATGATGAAGTACTCTCTCCTGTCAGAAAAGCCACTGCCACTCTTGGAAGAGTGACTAGAATAAGAGATTGGACTGAAATTTGTTATGGAGCTGAATGTAAATAGGGAATTTTGTCCTTCCGTGATCCTTCTTTAGAGATGTGACTCTTGTGAGGGTTACTGGTGAGGTATCACTTTGCATATGCTCTGCACTCGTCAGTACAGACAATATTATGTCCACCAGTTGACTCACGTGGGTACTTGTTGGGTGGTTGTAATAGCAAGACTTTTCAACCAAAAAAACCCACAAAAACCCCAAACCCAAACCAAAACAAAAAAAAGACAGCACTTTTTTTACACCATTAATGTAGATACCTGAGAATCAAGTGTCTAGTTTAAACATCAGGTTCCTCATGTAGTCACTGGAGAAAAGGTTGTCTCCAAAGGATCACTTGTCTCCTAAGTTAGGTATGAGTCACTTTCTAATGATAGCTGTCACTCTCCACCGGCTATAGAAACTAAATACTTTCTATATAAACTAAATACTTTATGTGGCAGGACTGTGACATGATCCCAAAAGCCAAAACTGAGAAGTACATCTGCTAATACCTTTTCCTTTAAGGAATTCTACAAAAGCACCAAAAGGTGTTTGTATCTGAAAAGTGAAGATCTTTTAGATTACACATTTTTAAACAGAAAAAAATCCAGATGTGCTGGGTAAAACTGAATTTAAAAAATGGATTTGGAATCATCTGTCTGTGCCCCATCCCTTATTCCTTGCATGCCAACTCATTTCCTCCTCAGTTTGTCTTAGTACAGCAATTTTTATGTGAGTTTCTGAATTACAACAAATTCAAGAAAATATTCTATGAGTGTTTTGGAGAAGTCTCTTTTTTTCCATCACTTTTTAAACTGTCTGTGTGTTAGCTCCCAGTCTGAACTCACTTTGTCTATCCCATGTTCCATGTTAAAATTTTCCTGCTTGGGCAGTACTTTGTTGCTCTACAGTAAGAAAAAGTCTCATTCTTGTTCCAGAGGTTCCACTTAACCCAGAGTGAGGGAGCCAAGAAAGGCAAATCAGTAAAACAGTAGCCTTCCTCCCTGTTTTTCTACTTTATCAGGAGTTAGGTGAGAAAAAAACATCACATTTGATTTGCACAAGCAGAGTAATACTACTCAACTCTGAATTTGTATATGGAACTAAACAAAGCTTTCCATGAGAAAAATGTATTGTGTGTCTGCATGTCCGGAATTTTCCCTCCAATCTGGTAACAAATTCCACAGGCTAACTCTACAGAATGTAGAGAGAAGTAGTTAATTTACTTTGTTTAAATCTGCTGCCTGGAAATTTTATGATACTCTTTGAAAAGAATAAGAATATTTTGGGAAATATGGAATAAACATTCTTCATTCATCATCACCATATTACTCTTAATTTTACGAGTGTCTCAGTCATATCCCTGTTAAGTCATCTCTCTCCCAAACAGAGTTGTAGTGGTCTGCAAAATCAGGCACGAGAAGAGTCACAGAATCAATCAATGTTGGTCATCTGGTCCAACCACCCTGCTCAAGAAGGCTCATCCTAGAGCATATTTTACCTAATTGTGTCCAGACAATTCTTGAATATCTCCAGTGAGAGAGATTCCACAACCTCTCTGGAAAATCTGTTCCAGTGCTTGGTCACCCGCACAGTAAAGAAGTTCTTCCTTGTGTTCAGGTAGAACTTCCTGTGGATCAGTTTTGTCCCACTGCCTCTTTTCCCATTGCTTAGCACCACCGAGAAGAGCCTGGCTCCATCTTCTTGACACCCTCCCTTCAGATATATAAATTGAGGCCTCGCTAGGGCTGAGCAGAAGGGCAGAATCACCTTCATCAACCTGCTGGCAATGCTCTTCCTAAGGCATCCCAGGATACCTTTGGCCTTCTTGGCCACAAGGGCACACTGTTGGCACATGAACAGCTTGTCATCCACCAGGACCCACAGGTCCTTCTTCACAGAGCTGATTTCCAGTTGATCAGCCCCCAGCCTGTACTGGTGCCTGGGATTATTCTACAAAGGACCCTACACTTGCCTTTATTGAATTTCAAATGATTCCACTCTGCCCATCTCTCCAACTTGTCAAAGTTCTTTTGAAGGACAGACTTCTGGCATAATCGCCACTCCTCCTAGATTTGTGTCATCAGTGAACTTGCTGAGGAGGCATCTGCCCCTTCATCCAAGTAACTGATGAATAAATTAAAGAAGTTTGTAACTGATGAATAAATTAAAGAAGTCTGGGCCCAGTATTGAAACTTGGAGGACACCACCACTGATAGGCCTCCAACTAGACCATGTACCACTGATTACAACCCTCTGTGATCTGCTATTCAGCCAGTTCTCAAACTGCTTCACAGCCCATTCCCCCAGGCCACACTTCCTGATTTTGCCTATGAGGGTGTTGTGAGATACAGTGTCAAAAGCCTTGCTTTTGACAATATCCATCCAGGTGGTTCTTTCCTCCTAGAAGGTAATTAGGTTGGTCAAGAATGATTTCCCTTTAGCAAATCAATGCTGACTACTCCTGATCACCTTCTTCTCATCCATGTGTATAGAGATGGCCTTCAGAACAAGGTGCTCCATCACCTCTCTAGGAATTGAGGTGAGGCTGACAGACTGGTAATTCTCTGGGTCATCCTTCTTTTGTTTTTTGAAGACTGGGGTGACTAGTGTTTTCTTTCAGTCCTCAGGCACCTCTTCTGATCTCCGTGACCTTTTAAAGATGATTGTGAGTGGCCTCATTACGGTGTTAGCACAATTGCTAGAATTTCACTTATTGCTAGAAGGTAGTCATGCAGCACAACAAAGGCAATACTTTTAGTGAATGTTATGGAAGTCTGAGGATCCCTGGAGGTATTTAAGAGACGTATAGATGTGACACATAGGGACATGGTTTGGTGGTGGACTCAGCAGTGCTCAGTTAATGGTTGTACTCTATGATCTTAAAGGTCTTTTCCAACTGAAATCATTTAGTGATTCTGTGACTTCCTGTGTTCTTCAAGTTGCTTAGATCTTAATTTTAAAACCTCCTCCAAAGGAAAGCAAGAAAAGGTTTACATACAACTGTTAGCAATAATTAAATAAATAAGTACTATATAGTGCAGTTGACTAAATGCCATTGTTCTTTTTCAGCATTATTCTGCCATATGTTTAGAGTCACTGGGACTGCAGTGCTGTGAATACCAGCCTCACAAGCTATCAATTAGCCGCTTCTGAATGCCTCCATATTCTTACTATGCATCACTGGGGCTCCTCTAACCTTTGCAAGATGTTTTCTTCAATCTTTTTTGAACAGCATTTTGATGCTGTTGATAATTTGAAGTCTTATCATTGCAGCGGCACCATAAGAACATATTCATGGCCTCAAATCCTGTTGCATTAGGCTTTGCCACAGACCCAGGTATGGATGTAGAATTGCTCCCAACAACATATAATTTAAAAACTAAGATAAAATATTTCAAATCCACAAAAATAGTGGGATTTGTCTCAATAGTTTCACATAGTGCAGCTGCAGATACCGACATCTGAGCTAGTGATCCCCAACTTCCTTTGCAACCAGTGAAGGGAAACAGGCACTTTACACGTCAACACAGTGGATCTGATCTAGCATTGCTTTGATTCTTTCTATCCAGTAAAGAGCAAACTGAAACAAGCTGTTTCACAGGCACCTGTAACTAAAGATGTCTGTATCTGGTCAGATATAACCCATACAAACAGACATAGTGGTGGTGATGGCCTCAAGATGGTGCTAGCCAAGTACGTTTTACAGAAAAAAACACCTATCCTAAAGTGGCTTTGTGGGTGCTCTGTGGAGCTGTTCATTATCATAAGTCAAAGAAAGATCAGGGAAAATCTCAGTGTTCTTATTGAGAAATAAAATTATGGGATCTATATGAGAGTCTTGGTTGGCTGGGTAGGTAGGAAATGTATCTTAGAGAAGTCAGAAGAAAAGACTCCACAAGAATGAGGTATGACATGGGAACTATAGACATCTCAACAGAAGATCACATCCATTTGAGAGCAGCATGTCAATATTGTGCCAATGAAAAGCAGTTTAGAAGTATGAGAAACAAGTTTACAAAAAAAAAAGAGGTTAAGAGGTGTGTTTTAGTTGTGTTCAACTTGGACTAATTGTTGAATTTTAAGACACATTAAAAGGTTTTCATTTGGACATAAGGAAATAGATTTGGAGTAAAGACATACCTTTTTGTCACACACACATTGGTTGGTTTATAGATGAGACACAGCAGAAAGCAAGAAGAATCAAATAGAAAGCACTATGAAAAATAGGGCCTTACTGAGCACCACTCTGTTCTCCCCAGTGTGGAGGAAAACAAGAAAATCTTCCTGAAGACTTTCAGAACAAGCAGTTAGTAAGTAGAAAGAAAGTGAAAAGAAGAAAAACCTTACTAAAGCTAAAGAAAAAGGGATGAGTTTTCCAAAAATATGTGCTCATTTTGTGTTCAAGTCCAAGGCCAGAAATGCAAGTCCACACTGCAGCTAGAGCTTGGAGAGGAACAGAGAGAGAATAGGCAGGGACTGCAGAGGCAGGTTGGTGTGAGCTGAACAAGAGTTAACCTGCCTGTATGGTAATGGAAAGAGAGCCAGAGCATACTGAGAAGCTAAGGAGAAGACTAAGGAAGGGAATGGAATGAGATGGAAACACTGGAACAACTGAGGAGTAAGAAGAAAAGGCATAGAGGAGCTGCCTGAATTATGACACACAAGGAAAAGGAAGGGAAGGTCTGGGTATATTTTTTGTTTTGTATTTATATATTAAATATATGATTTTTCCTTGGGAGAAATGGAGAGTTGCAGAGTAGGTAGAAAGGGATAAAAGCAGGAATGGGGAGGGGCTAGAAAAGTGAGTGACAAGAGGTGAAAAGACAGCTGCTATTACAGGTGTAGGCACAGTGGAAATAGTAATTTATCTCTGAAAGTGACAGAGACGAGATCGTCTGAGGTGAGATCTAGAACAAAGTAAGCTACAGTGCTTTACAAGCCATTTTTAAAGGGGTCATCTTGTAATTTTTGCTGAGATACCTTGAGACAGATGAAATACATTTATATTGAAGGACACTAAAAGTGCAACCCTAATTTACAGTTCATTGGAGCACCAAAGAAAACATCAACAAAGTTGTATTATTATTTTTTAAAGTGACAAAAATATGGTCACAAAACTTCCATTAACTGAGTTCTAGGCTAGACTGGCACTTTGAACTTCCTGATCATAGTTTTTTAGAGAGTCAGGGCTAAAATCTAAACAGACACACCACTCATTTCTGTGACTGAAGAAAGTGTATCCAGTACTTATAAAAACACTTACATACTTTAATAGCATAAAATGTTGTTAAAAACATGTTTTTGTTTTAAAAGCTTTTCCAGAAAAATGTTGGTATCCTATAAATACAGAAATTTCTGTATTTTCACTTCAGCAAAGAGCAGGGCTATACAGGTCTGTTTAATGCGTGTCTGTAAGGTATTTCACCTTACACAGTACCTCTTAGAGTGGTTAAAGCACATTTGGATACAAATTACTTTTGTCACTAAGAAAACCAAAGTCAAAACCAAAACTATTTTAAGAGTGCTGGTTTCAGCATAACCATCTTGGGGCCCAGCTGGCAAAAGGCTCTTTGGAAGAAGGTTGAGACACTCACTCTATGAGAAAAGCAAATTTAAGTCCCTCTTCTGTCTGATTTAGAGGGGTAATTCTGGGTGACTAATGGATGCTTTTGGCTGAGTACCCTCCAGCAGTTCCTGAAAGGCTTGGCTGTTTTTATTCAAGCTAGGAACATTTCTTTTCTGAATTTCAAAATGTTCAAAACACATTGATAATGCTTCTTTCTCATTTAGCATGATTTATTCAGAGGTCTGAGGGTGCTACAGGAAGAAGGAAGGGCATAATTGTTTCTATTTCACTGCTGAAGAAGAAGAAAGAAGAAGCACTCTGATGTGTCCACCTTCCTGGAAAAGTTGGGGGGGGTGAGGGAGGGATGGGATGGAGAAAAACCCTGCTCTTGCCTCTGCAGCTAACTCTGTCCCTAGAACAGTTGGATTTTACTGGAGCTGAATAACTGCTGAGTAGTGCATTCAAAACTAGGCACAAAAAACTGTCAGTTCCTGATTTGATTCAGCTGCATTCCTGCCCTTTTTTGTTAGTCTTGTTTCAATCTATTTTTCCCTGCATATGAATGTTGGTGAAGGCAACTGATATAGAGGGGTACACATATTCATGGAGGAATAGGAGTCTGAAAAAATGTACTCATCTTCTGTTTATTATTCATGATTTACTATTCATCATTTACTTTTTTCTTTATTCATAAAGTTTCAGGCATCCAATCAGGAGTGGAGACTGGAATGAATAATGGAAATACACAGTTCAGAGATAATACTCAGGCTGTAATTTATACAGGCAAATGATCTGACAAACATTTATAAATAACTGAGACAGTACTTTGGGGGCACAAAAGAAAATCTGCCCTCAAGTAAGAGGCAGAGAAATGAACTTGATTATGTCTAGAGGCTCTAAGCAAGTAACCAGAATAGATAGCAAACTCATCTGATATAACCTGACTTTTTTCAGGAAGATAGAAAATCATTAAGCTATGAAAATCACTCCGCCTTGCCACAATGCAGGTCTATTATTTTAACAGCCCTCTCTGGGGAAAGATGGACCAGTATCCACAATTGGATTAAGGGTAACCAGGTCCCAGATCTAGCAAAACCAGTGAAAACTTCTGGTGTATTAAGTGATTCCTGCCAGATTCCCATTCTAGGGACAGGAGCTTGATATCACATCCTACTGTTCTGAAGAGGGGGATTACTTTCAGTGTTATGTACTCCACTCCCATCTGTTCAAGGAAGGGCCACTCCTTATCTTCCCAGCTGTTGTGTTTGCTCTGATATGTTCAATACTGCACCATTTATTCAAGGGCTCATAACTTTTGGAGAACAATGGATACACAATTCTTTTTCTCACACTATAGTTTTTTTGGGGGGGCACGGTGGAAACATTAAGGAACCCTTCCCCAGAAGACAGAAAAGCACAATGTCCTGAGCAATAATTTGCTGGTTAAAGTGGGAGCTTGACTCCTTTAGTGAGGATGAGGAGTCACTGTCTCTGTCAGAAGTCTCTTTTGTGGTGTTGTGGATGTGGTCCAGCACCACATAACAGACTGGCTGCTTTCTTATCACAACCTATTATTAACATCCATGACTTTAAGTGTTATATAGCCACTAGCTATTTCTAACTCCTGCAGTAGAGCGTTCAGGTCAAATGCAAACACTTTAAGCAATCCTTCAAGCTTTTTGATCCACTTTAACAGAAAAGATGTAGGCATCCTGAAAGGAGTACACAGGCATTACAGTCCAGCGTACTAGTGTCAACCATAGCTAATTCGATAGCAACGATGCCAGACTATGTTAAACGACAAGAATCTACTTTCCTAAACCAACTGTTACATCTTTACCCTATCCCTTTCTCCAGGAGAGCAAACTGGAGCAACAGAGTGATGAAAAGATCTGGGTCAGTGAAAACCCCTCTAATCATCATAGGCATGCCATATCATGTAATTGTCTTCATACTTGATCAACTCAAATGAACTCAACACCAAATACTGAGCAGCATTCAAGCTCATAAAGGGAAAACTCCATGTGTCCCTCAATTTTTCATCCCCTTTGCTCCATCCTACATGCTTGGTAGTCTCCCTCTGATATGCCTTGTTACATGGAGAGCAAGAAGAACAGCCAGTCCACTTACAGCTGTACTTACTTTTATGCATTTTACCCTCTTTCCTTTGCATGAGAGATCTGACTCCAACCTGGCAAGAAAGAAAGAATGAGGAAAAAAGAAGGATGGGGCAAAAGAGAATCAAACCTCAGCCTAAGGTCAGTAAGATGAGGTAGGGAGAAAGAGGCATCCTCCCAGTTTTTCCCACACAGCGGTGGCACAGCTGGTCATGCTGTGACTGGGTGTTACAACCAGCTCCAGAAGGTAAAGGTAACGCAGGTTCTTGTTAATAGATCCCTTGAGGCAGATTAGAGTGAGTAGACACTGAATGATCAGTGTTTGCAAGTAAATATATGTAGAGTTTATTTTAGAACTATTTGGTTGCAAAGGAAAACAGGCATTGTAGCCATTTTGGTGATCATTTTCTATAGTAATACAGCAGTATGAAAGCATAAAAATATCACTTTAGGAAGTGTAAAAGGGAAAAGAGAGGAAAGAGAGGGAAGGAAGAGAAGAGAAGATGAGAAGAG